TCCTCATGTTGTCGATTATTAATTCTTATTTCCACTATAATAGACTAATGAACATAATAGGCTAATAGACAGGACACGATGCAGAGAAAAGTATAAATTCCACATTTCAACGCATTAATATTTAGCCCAGCGGCGCGGCGTGTTTTGCGATAAATCGATCGATTTCCCATTGAAACCTATGGAAATGGATCGATACAGAGGGTGTTCGCAACCATCCCCTTAATAATCGATTCTTTACCACAGTTTTAAATGGGGAAATATCGATAATCGATCATTCACGCCTCGCCACTGGTCAAGCGAGCCACACGAGACGAGCTTTAAATGGAGCAATGGAAGCTGGTGTGGATCGTTAGCTTTTATACAAATCGGTTCTATTGCACATCAACAAGAACGCATGCTGTGGCGTAGAGTGCTTTGCGATATATCGATTGATCTGCCATTTAAACCTATGGCAAGGGATCGATAAACCTAGGGTGTTCGCAGAACACCTGAATAATTCATTCTTTACCATACTGATAAAGATTTGTAAACACCGCAAACGAGATACGTGGTCTGATAGTTTCACCGTCGATATGGGTCCATGTATATTCATATACAAGGGGAGTAATAACACGTCAATAAACGGTGCGAAATTATTACCTTTAAACACACGTTTCCTCGTCGAAAGACGTGTTGTATATTTTACTCACTAAGATCACTTGGGGACTGTTCATAAGTTACGTTACGCTCGAGGGGGGGGGGGGGGGGGGGGTTGAGGAGAGCGATACGCCATTTTTTCATATACATCGATGGTCAAGGCTTTCACTGTTTGAATTAAGTTAATGCGAGGGATGTCGGATTATTTTAAATACATACGACAAGATCAAAGTCAAGTTCTTTGGGATCTTGAAGAGGTGATCTTCATAGATCATCGGTGCATTGCAAATCGTGGCGAAGTGCTCCGATGAACCGTTGAATAAATGAGCGCTAACGACCTCAAATCGGAGCTAACTTTAAGCTCGACTTTGATGGTGAGCGTGCACGACTCGGTGGAGAAGCCCGCTGCCCGCAGTGTATGTCGAATCATGGATGCTCCGGGGTTCAAACATTGGCTCAATGGAAGGGGTGAAGGTCGTTAAGGAGCAAGGACCAACCTCTCTGCGAAAAGTTGTTGCCAACCTTCTCTCGGAAGTTGGTATCCAAGAAGAGAGACATGTTCTGCCGTCATAGCGAAGAGAGCCGTAAATGCAAAATTTTCGAAATCGAGTTTTCTTCAAAATTCGTCTTAACTCTTTTAGATGAAATTACTGAGACAGCTAAAACAGCAAAATTCATCCTAATTTAATGAAAACGAGACGTATGAGAAAGCCGTAAGTGCACAAAAAATGACTTAGTTTTTTTCAAGACAGCCGCAGGTGCATGAGAGCCAATGAAAACACTGCTTTCCAGTAAAGTGCCGCCCTCTTCTGCCAATTTCTAACCTGAAAATGTGTTTGTTGTGCGTCCAAAACGCAACCACGAAAGCATGTAGAAGATAGCACTTACGGCTGTCTTGCCTAACAATAACCTAACACGAAACTGAATTTTACCTTTTTCATGTACTCTAAAATAAAATCGGTCGAGTTTTTAGGAGTCTTCCGGACGAATAGTGGCAATTAGACAAAGAACGGAGGCTTCTTTCAATAAAATGTTCCACTCAGAAGCTTCTGAGCCCGTTTTCTCAGAACTTCATTTTTGCACTTACGGCTTTCCTCGCTATCACGGCAGTGTTAGTTAACTAACCAACATTTTTGCTCGGTAAAACCTGTGATCACTTAAAATGAGACATCCAGGTTGATTCACCCTAATAACCTAACAAACATTTTTAACTGAAGATGAATCGACTGCATAAAATGTACCCATGATTTTCATGAATATCGTCAGCGCATAGTTTTATCGAAAACCTCCGCGCATTATTTGGCGACGCTACTGTGCCTTGCGAAGTATCTCTTGCGTATATTCCACGTCCTTTTAATGTACGGAATGGAAGGAAGGAACTACGAAAAATCAAGTGGGTGAAAAACTCGCGGGAAATATTCGCGTAATTGAGCAGGAGATTATTTTAAAATATACTCACTTGAAAAGAACTTAATAGATGAAGTTGACAAATGAAATTTGAAATACGCCAGAACGGATTTTTAATGTCCTTATTTCATTAGTTTCTTTTAGTAATCTACTCTGGCGTTATTTCTGGAGTATATTCTGGGTACGTATCTTATCACATCGTAGTACCTACTGCAAACCCAATGCATCGGCTCCGGTAGGTATAGAATGGCCGCAGCGTTACCAAATAATATAGTTTGCGTTATCGACAAAAGTATATGCACTACTGATATTTGCGAAGATGAAGCTCTTGCATGTGTGGAGGATTTGTGATTTAAGCTCTTATCTTGCGTAAAATTTTGGTAAAAATACGATGGTGCCACTGGTTTTCTCTGAAACCCACTCCGAAGCTCAAAAAAAGCTCTCATAGTTGAGGTCGCATAATAGAGAGGATATTCCACGTTATAGAGTCTACCTCTATACCTAGTCAAACTCTCCTTGCGAGGGTAGGGAGCAAATGAATTAGCAAGGTTGCCGTGTCTTCAGTTTTGGACTCCCCAAACAAAGTGTCAACCCTGTTAATGTACTTATACTCTCTATCCTTGCACGGAAAGTTCGACTCGACAAAGAGGTGGGCTTTCAGGATGGCGTGGGATATCCCTCCTTTACGGGCTTAACTTTGAGACCTTCTTCTGAGTTTTGGAGTTTGTTTCAGAGAAAAGCAGTGGCACCATCGTGTTTCTCGCAAAATTTTACGCCAGAAAAGTATTAAAATCGCAAATCTCCCACACATGCAAGAACTCAGGGTGTCAACCGGTCTCCAAAAGTACCCAATGTCCCCGATTATCCCTGATTTTGGAAGAGTGTCCCCGATATCCCCGAAAGTCGCCAATCTTCTTCTTCAGTCCCCCCAAAATTACAAAAATTGTACAAAACACCGGCATTTTCAATTTTTTCCGCCAGCCGCGGCAGTGCGATATAACCAGGAATAAAAAAAAATGTAGTGTTGCTTGGTTTTTCGTATGTTTTCATCGGTTCAACATGACCTGTAAAATTAGTCGTATAAAATGCGCATTTTAAAGCTCTAACTAGCTCCCTTTCTCTTTACTAACTATTTTGGGGGAAAAAGTCCCTAATATTCTTGCAGAAACTCCCCTTAAAGTCCCCGAATGTCCCCAATTTTGGTTTTTTATAACTGATAGACACCCTGGAACTCCATCGTAACCAAAGGTTATAGACATCGTCAAGAACCCGATCTATCCCGTTTTGAACTGCCTAATCTTTTATTTTGAAGGCCGTTATGGAGCTTTAAGGGAAACCTTTTGAATGTTCTCAACTGAATTTCGACTTAACTTAATTTTTCAACTAAATTTGGGCTGATTATTGAAATTGATAGACAAAGCGATAGACAAAGAAGATATGGGGAGTATGAAACGATCCTATTGGTCGAAAAGGGTGGTTCTTATAGACTAAGGTTATAGACATTGATAAAAACCCGATTTATCACGGATTTGAACTGCCTAATCTTTTATTTTGAAGGCCGTTATGAAGCTTTGAGGGAAGCCTTTCGAATGTCCTCGACTAAATTCGCTAGCGATCCAGGTAAGGAGGCAGGCGGTTTATTGAATTTGAATATCCGAGGAAGAGTCTCGGAAGTGGAACAGAAGCCGCGCTCTAGGCCAAAACGACCGGAGCATCACAGACGTAAAATTCACTCAACCCTCTAATCGGATTCAAAGTGAAATCAATTTGGCCGGAGCATAAATTTATAAACAAAATCAGCGCTGCTCGGCAGGAGAATTTGATTTGTCATGAATTTTGAAAGGATGCTATGAAAAATGCATCATAACTCGCTATTCCCCGAAAGAGGATGTGCCGTACCCTGCTCGTGGCGGGTGACGCAAGGAGCAAAAGCACCCGGACCGGGAGAAAAGTTATATTGGAAAAGTTTCCGGTGAAGAAATATTGAATTAGAATTGCAAATTATGTGTTAACTTACAACGCGTCTTTAAGACTTGCAACTACTTTTTTGCTGTTTAGTTGAGCCACCGGGTCCGGGGTCACCATTTGGACCGCGACAATTGTTCGTCGTAGTTTCTATTCAAACCTGTCATACTCTCTCTTTCATTCCTCTCCGTATAGCTCCTTCTGAATACTCAATATTTACGCAGATCGATCTCTAATAGTTGACATTAGTCAGATGTAATGAATCAACTATATTTTCACAGATCAGGGTGTCTACAAGTCCGAAAAAAGTACCGATTTTTTAAGGGCGGTCCGGACGTACTGAAAAAGAGTGGAAACTCGACAAGAAGGTTCGGCATTTTTTTCATTTTTTTTTTTTTTTTTTTTTTTTTTTTTTTTTTGTCATTTTTTTCGTAATTTGAGTGAGAAATTCAAAATTTTGAAATTTTTTGAATCTCGTCAAATGGAGGTACTGAAAAGGTACTGAATTTTTCTGTTACCAGACCATAACCACCAAATTTTTGAGCTAATGAAATAAATTTGATGAGATTGTAAACACAATATATTGCTATTTGAAATGCAATCAAAATAAGCTTTTACCTGCCTTTTAGAGGCTCATCGACATTGGTTCGGATATTGTATTAAACGTAATAATTCGATTTAAATTTGATTAATCAATGAATTAAATTAATGTAAACATGTCCATATTTTTTCAATATCTATGCCTTAAATTACACTGCCGTGCTAAGGAAAAACGCCGTATGAGTCTTCAGGCGTTGCGAAATTTCTCCTGGCAAATCACTAATTTTCAAGAAAATTTTTGAATATCTGTTAACCAATTTCTAAGATAATTTTGTTTGTAATTTGACCTATAACCTCTGAAAATTTCAAGGAAAAATATTCATATTTTTCCTAAAAAATAAACATTTTATCGAAGGAAATTTGGCAACTCTCTAATATTCATACGGCGTTCTTCCTTAGCACGGCAGTACAGTTTGTTTTGTCTCCACTCGTCTAAAAAACGTCATCGATCGCAAGCATTAACCATTCGACGATGAAAATTTTTTTCCGACCTATGTATCCGATGAGCTTCTTTACGAGGCTTGAAATGGACATAGGTTCCCCTTGCTTTGTTGTGGCGGCGTTTTCCTGCGAGTAGAATTCAATGACGCGCTTTATCTCTTCGTGTAAGAATTGATTCTTGATGCAAGATTTCGACAGTTTCGACCATTCGAAGCCGAGAGAGCAACTACAACTATAAGTGCCGGGAAGGTTCATGCAGAGCTCCGTCTCGTTTTTGCACACCTGGGCACCATTTTCGCATTCGTTGATGTCCACACACATGCCGAATCTGTAAGAATATCTGTTGTTAAGAATTAATCGGCAGTACCATTAATATTACACTAGAACTCATAATATTGTGCGAAAGTGGAAGACTTATTAAAGTTAATATCGCCAGTTAGTTAGATAATGTCATAATAATGGACATGAAATGGTAATATTTTGACTTGAAGTCCGTGGCAAAAGCAGTGGTGTGGCGTGCTTTGCGATGTATCCATTTATCTGCCCCTGAATCCTATTGAAAAGGATTGATAAACAGGGTGTTCGCAACGAACACCTTAATAATCGATTCTTTATCATATCTTCCAACGGGGAAATATCGATTATCGATCATTCACGCCTCGCTCCTGGTCAAAAGATCATAAATCGTCGTTTCCTGGACGAAGGAACGTAATTCCATTCCAAGGTTGCAAAATTGGCTCAAACAATTCAATTTTTCATGCGCGTACACAGGTGAAATTGTTGTTCAAAATTTGTCTGATTTTCGCATGGAATCAGGAGAAATGTTAGTGAAATTTTCAACTAGAAATGCCCAAGACTCTTCTGGGAAAAATCCAATTTTTAAGAAGAAATTTGGCAACTTTGAAATATGATTACGTTCTCTTTCTACGTTCTTTCTTCTACGCGAGCGAAACTACGAAATCTGGCCCTTGAAACGGAGCACATTTCACCAAGAAGTTACATAATCAGGAAGAAAACGAATCACTCGTCAATGACTGACTGGTCTCTGCTATCGCAAAATGATCGCTTTGATCGGCTGGGGAACTTCTTTACGAATGTATCTTGCTATCGTGAAGTTTACTGAATGTGAAGCTGAGAGAGAGAGTGAATCTTGTCATTTGAAGTTCACCATCAATTTTGCTGGAGAGGCATCAAGCATGACGTAAAGCAAGACTGGTTATCTATTCGAATAATAATCGGTCATCCCGCCTTTGTGCTTTGATTAAACCAATCCATGATTTCCATGAATGATCTAATATTCGGAAGTATCGCGTATTTGAAGGCTGCTCTTAATTATCTCCAATGCAGACTGGAGACGGAATTCGTGGAAATCCATTCGCATTAACGGGAGCCATGGCGCTGCCTTATCCGCAATTTTAAGCGTGTACCGCCATGCTAAGGGAAAACTCCGTATGAACCTTCAGGCGTTGCAAAATTTTCTTTGATAAAACGCTACTTTCCTGGTATACTTACGAATATTTTCCTCCTAATTATTTACATATTTTTTTTTCGCAGTTTCACCTAAAGATTCTGAAAATTCAAAGGAAAAATATTCATAAATTTCCTCAAAAATAAGCATTTCATCGCAGGAAATTTGGCAACTCTCAAATGTTCGTACGGTGTTTTTCCTTAGCACGACAGTATACTACCTGCACTCATTGTAGGAAGTTCAAAGGACAGGCTGATTTCTTCGCCGGAGAGGGATTTTCGTAAGAGCGGTTTTGGTTGTAGCGGGAGTTGACTGTAATGATGAGTCGTTGTTTAGTGATCGAAATTGTGCGGCGCACAGTGGAGCCAGTTAATTGGAGCGGTTGGACAGGATGTACTAACATCGAGAGCTCATATTTCAAAAACGCATTTGGCGTAGATGTTTGAAAAAGGCTCCAATTAGTGTTTCAGTAAAAAGGCATCCCGTAAGATTTAACAAAACGCGGTATTAATCGGAAAATGCTGATGTCACCCTGACTTTTCCAATGACATTTTCCGATATTGGAATTCGGGAATGAGTGGATTAAAGATTACGAAAAACGATCAATTATCAGTTTTTGTAATCTTTATCCCCGTTTTTGACATTCATAAGCTGCGTTGTCTTAAACCTCTCTATAAAGGCAAAAGGGCTCTAGGTTTATATAGTCCCTTTATACCCAGAGTTACAACATCTCAATTCTGGTCGGGCTGAAAGTGGTCTAAAAAAAAATCCAATTCTGATTGATCCTCGCTCACAGAGTCACAAAAGGGTGCACCAAGATGACGGTGGCTAGAATGTAAACAAAAATAATGGAAAAATAACTTAATTGTGATTTATCAAGAGTAAATCGTTATTTTCACCGCACTAAAATAAAGACAGACACAGAAATTATTCACAAATCAATCTCATTTTATTTTATTGCAATTTCTTCGTTTTGTTGATGTTGTTGTTTTTGGATGTCGGACATCGCAGGATTCCTTATCCTTATCCCTCAATATCGTTCGTTTGGGTGCACATTTTTGTGACACCATGGGCAGCCCAGGCCAGCTGATAATCGACGTGTCTTAACTCTGGGTATAAAGGAACCAGTGTTCTGCGTTCCCCCTAAAATTTTAGGAGCCACCTTAGCCCAAAAAGCCCAATTTTTAGGAGCCATCTACTATTTTTTAGTAGCCAAATTGAATTTTTGCATACGGGCCATGGCGATGCGGCGAACGGGGCGTATAAAGAGCGCTTCATCGCTACCGCTGCTTTCCGATTGCGAGTCAATCTGTCAAATTTTTCAGGCGCCAAGGCCCGATTCTTAGACGCATTTGGCGCATGGCGCCAGAGGAAGGCAGAACACTGAAAGGGACTCTAAACACTGCGACAAGGCGCTTATTGCTTACTTAGAACTCCAGCGGAACCCGGGGCTCGAACACTTGCAGGTGACGTTCCAGTGGTTGTAAATGATGCTGAGCTGCTCCCTGTTGGCGGTCGGGTCGAAGGAACAAGCTTTGTCCTGGAGACGGGAGCAAGGGGCTCGGGGCTCGGCCGTGTTCCAGCATTCCTCCTCCGAGCGGGCGAGCTTCTTCGGGCAGCAAGGATCCGGGCAGAAGCTGTACATGGCGCATGCGTAGGGTTTCCGATCATCGGCCCGGAAGTCTCGGTTCGTGATACCTCGCTCGGGGTCCCAGCAGTTGGCGAAGTTGTCGCAAGGCTCCCCGAGCATCGCTAAGTTAGGAATATCCTGTGAAGAGATAAACGGGCCTGTTGCAAACTACAGCTAGAGCAAAAAGAACACCGAAAAAAAAGTGAAGTTGCTTTGCTTTAACATTCTGGATGTAAAAAAAAGTGTGCGAGAACTTATGAAGTGCTGTTTGACTGCACTATAACAGTTACTTTAGCAATGCCAAGATGTAAATATAACTGCTGTGGCGGGTAATTCAGTTCATTACAAGTTCTCATACACTTTTTTTACATCCTGGATATTAAACCAACTTCACTTTTTTTCGGTGAAGAGTTAATTATAGTAGAAAATGGCTCAAAACCAGGATGTCTACTGGTCCGGAATTTCCGAAACGTCCGGAAAAAGTATCGACTTTAAGGGCGATCTGGAAGTACTGAAAAAGTGCGGAAATTCGGCAAAAAAGGTGCGGAATTTTTTCCTCCATAGCAAAGAGGAGCCGATCGGCTGAAACTAATCCACCTTTTATTGGATTAGGTATTTTTTATGCGGTGTTAAGAATCATTGGTTCGGTAAATTTTGGTTAAGTGTCTTTAACCATTTTAGCAAATTTTTAAGAGCACTTTTTTTTCTCCCTTTTCCGCCTTTCCCTCTTTTTTCCTTTTTTGGCTCGAAGGGAGGAGGGCATGCCCCCCCCTCCCCCTGAATCCGCCACTCTGAGCGGGTAATTCAAATTCTTCGTGACCCCAGCAGTGTTTAATATTAACAATATGAATATATATTGGTTAGGAGTAAGTTCAGTAATTTTTGTTGCGCAAATCGTGGTCTACGTGAAATTTTGTAGAGGAACCCTGCGGCAGACCCCTTTTCCCGAATCGTTTTTCTCGACTCTATTTTTTGAGCTGTCCGCTCTGCCAAGACCAATGCCAGTCTCGACCGTTTCGCACTCTCAGCTCATCGAGCAATTCCTACTTTCCCATCCGAGATAATTAAAAGTTTCCGTGAATTAGGAGACATGGGCGGGAAAGCTAGCATTAAGGGTGGCGAGCAGAGGATTGCCCCCTTCTTTACCCCCTGCTCTCCCCACCTACCACGCACCGTCCAACCGAGCCGGAAAATAGACTTTCCGGTCCATGAAAAAAAAGAACCTGGGAATTCGCCGTCGCTTTCGTGCGATTGGGCGACGACGCACACTGGACCGACTCAACAGGAGAAGTCGGACAATATCTGAAAACTTTAAAATCTTAAATTTCCAAAAAATTTTAAAGTTCAAGAATTACTCCTTTGGGTTTTTCGTAAAATTTCCGTTCAGAAACACTCCTCGAAATGGATTTTTTGATTTACTAACATCAAAATTAAAAATTTTAGCCCAAAAATTAATGTCCGACCTCTTCTATTAGCTCGTTCTACTGTGCGTCGCGACGCTGAGGCTGACGCAGTGTTTCCTCGCTTTAAATTCGCAACTTCACAATTGAAATGGAAAATAAGATAACGTTTATCACCGAGGGCAGTTTTGTCGGTGAGCTCTCGCCCCCCCCCCCTTCCCTCGGTTCGCCGTGCCCCGCGGTCCATTCCTTGACCACGCTGGAACCTTCCGTTGCGAGATTGTTCTCGCGAAACACTGACGATGAATAAAACGTCAACACGTTTTTGAACGGGAGCTGGCAACACTGCTCATCCCCCCCCCCATGGCCCCGCTCTCACCGTCCCTTCTCGCGGTTTTGGCTCCTCGTCTGGTTTAGCACGCATTCTGACCCCCACCCTTTAGCCCCCCCCCCTTGCGGGTCTCTCCTTCGTCTTGTTCGATGCAATATTCGACCAGCTAATCATTCTCACGATTCGCACTCAGGTTCGACGTTGTGGTATGTTTCGATGCGATTCCAGTGGCGTGGCGTGAATTGCGATGTATTGAGTGTTTTGCCATTTAAACCTATGGTAAAGAATCGATTATCAAGGTGTTCGCTGCAAACACCCTGTTTATCAATACTTTTCCATAGGTTTAAATGGTCGATCAATCGATATATCGCAAAGCACACCATGCCACTGTTCGATTCATAACCAGCACTCACCAACTAGCGCAACGGCTTTCATTGAAATGTTTTAGCAATATGACGGTTGAAGAGCCTATTTAAGGTGATTCGATGGACATCATGTTTTGTGTCAAATCAACATGCGATACATCGCATTGGTTCCATTTTTTCAGCTACTCGTCATTTTTCTCGAATTTTGAGATCGCAATTCTGTTGCGAGGGGACAAAAGAATTCAGCAATAACGCGTTGTAGGTGCCCGCTGAATTGTATTGATTAGAAAATAAAGCAAACGAATAAATAGGATAAGACACACTAAATTTATCATTTTCTTTCTGTTGCAGGACATGCGGAAGATTGGCGCGAAGGACAGCTCTCAGTCGGTGAGTTCAAAGCTATGATTCACATGTATGAGGAACATTGTTGAGAGAATACGTCAATTTCCACTGAAATGGATAGAATAACAAACAGTGCGTTGTGTAGGGCGATGGCAGGAAACAAGTTCAAATTTTACGAACCAAAGTTCTGTAGAACTAGCGCAACAGCACGCATTGAAATGTTTTTGCGACATGGCGGTTGAAGAAAAGCAATCACCTCTAATAACTTTCTCGCCACCTGAGAGGAGTGTTGAATTAAATTAAAGAAAGAAACGAAATACATCACGGAGAGCTTAAAAGTCATTATCTTTTTAAAGAGACGACCGGGCGTTATTGAACGTGCAATTCAGTGGCGTGGCGTGAATTGCGAAGTATCGATTGTTATGCCATTTGAAGCTATGGTAAAGAATCGATTATTAAGGCGTTCGCTGCGAACATCCTGTTTATCGATCCTTTTCTATAGGTTTAAATGGCATAACAATCGATATATCGCAAAGCACGCCACGCCACTGGTGCAATTATTACCCCGGGCTTTATCATTTTGTGAAGCATGGAATCTTCTAATAGATGTATTATAATCCCTGCTAAAAATGAAGAGTAGGCTATACAGAATTCGCCAACTCACATGAGTAGAACTTCCTACCTATGAGTAGGAACCTAATCATATCCTTAACATATTCTATTCATAAGAGTAGAAAAGTTCAACTCATATGAATTCATTTTTTTTATTTTTCAGGAACACGGTAGATTCACCCTGGTAAAAATTGGTGATAGGAGCTGCGTTTCAAAATACCATAGGAGTTCTTATAGCCGACTAAAGAAGGCTATTGAAAATCATATAGCTGGCTGTAGAAAGCGGAGCAAATCATACAGCCGGGCTATACGAAGCTTTAAAAAAGTATACAGTCGGGCTATATAGTTCCTATCGCCGGGCGCCGGGCGCCGGGCTTTACACTTTATCGTCATTGGCGACAAATGGCTATAGAAAATTGTGTAGAAATTCGTGTGCTTTGGAAATCATTAAGTTTGATACGGAACTACCTTAATATTTACAAAACACACATAATATTTTTCTTTGAAACATATTTTTTTCATCAATTAAAATGAGAATAATCCATACAGAGTGTGCAAACATTTCAAAATCATGAGTTGAAAAACGCTGACTCCGCGAGATTAAATCTTAGAGCCTAACACAAACGGAGCGGCGACGCACTGGCGCCTACAAACCTAACAGGGATACTTCACGCATTGCGCAAAGGCGCATTGACGCCTACAAACCTAGCAGGGATACTTCACGCATTGCGCAATGCGCGTTTCGCGCTCTCTGCCCGCCCGCTGCGCCGCAGCGTGCCACGGCGTCTGAAGTAACTATTTCACACCAGAGGTATTGCACAGTATCTTAAGAAATTGAAGGCGCTCCAACATATTAAGAATGGCAGGTATCCTTCGATAAGGTGCTCAATCCCCCAAGATTTGTGGTTTGAAAGAGAGCTGTGGAGGTTAGGAGTCGTAGAGCGCGAGGGAGTGCTGTAAAGCGACTTATATGTATGTAGGTATCCTTCGAAAGTACGGAGCTTTCCTCGCAAAATAAATCAAGATACTACGGCACAAAAAGAGAGCGGTAGTCCAAAAACTAACTAAGTCCTAGTATTCGTATTTAGTAACGTTTAGCATAAACTTTATCGTCTGGCTGTTGCTTAATCGCCATCGGCTATAAAAGGCTGTAAGAATTTGTACAGCCGGCTACAGAAGCTATTGGAAATCTTACAGCCGGCTTTAGGTCTTTAGTATTTTGGAACACTTATTCTACTACCAATTTTTACCAGGGCAACGCTGAATTCATGTGAGTTGAAATCTCTAGTAGTCATATAAGTTGGCGAAAACTGGATTGAGAAATTCTGCTCGTATGAGTTAAATTCTATGCATATAATTTGAAGTTCTATTCATATGAGTTGAAGCAAAATGAAATTATACAGGTTCCTCAAAAAATTCTTTTAGCTTATAATAAACATTATTTTTTAGTTTTATTTTCAATTGGTTGAGGAATATTTTGACGGAACTTTCCATGTACATTACTTTTAACTCGTTGGTCAAGGTGTTGAAAAATCCTATCGCTTGATTTTTCATTAATTTATTCTCCCTAGTTGTTACAATATTATTGTTCATGAAGCAATGTCTGGTGCCATATCCATGGTTAGGGGCCATTCTGTCAATCGTTGAAAGATATCGTTCATCTTGAAAGATAATTACTTCTTAAGGGGCGGGTTTGGAACGAAGTGGACTTTAAAGGTGAAGCTGTCTGCGCGTAAGACTTTTAAGTGACGTCATACGGAAGAGCAAGGCGAGATCGCACGAATATGCTACCGGCTGCTCGTGATGAGCGTGCCCTGTACGGTCGCACAACTCTAATGACCCGAATTAGAGTCAGCAATGCAGGCTTGCAAATGTTCGTCGCCCCGAATTTCATGACACAAACTCTCAATATTTTTAAGGGCTTATCTAAGTTCAAAGTTACCGGATTTACTCTAGTCCTGTTATTTTTAATTCAGTTTTTATAAAAGTTTGCCTCCGTCCATAGTTTTCTCCAAGTAGCGCAAAATTATTTTTCCACCTCGCGGAAATAACCAGGCAGGGAAACAGGGACGATTTCCTTACTTG